TGGGACCAATATCCATACCTCAATCTCTACCATGTTTGAAGTACTTCAGGCCATCCACTGAATGGTTGGAGAAAGTCATTTCTCAAATAAGAAAAAGAAGCTAAGGGGAGAAAAGAGTATGTAATCATGATACTCAACTTCCAAAATCACAGTTTATGATACCCTGATATAATGCTGTGAAGATACTTCTTCTACATATGCTCAAATATTGCCATATTGCAGGGGTTCAAACTCATAATGACATGTCATCACATGATGTATCGCAACTTTCCCCCCTTTGCTAAAATGGGAGTGGGTGTGGCCATGCATGATGCATCCAGCCCACAGCCATGAGTTTGACACCCCTGCCATATTGGCATGGATCATGAAAGGTCAAAAAATGAATAGAGAAAAATACAAGCTAAATAAGTACTGTTATTCTTGCAAACATGAAATCAACCATGGATTTCAAAAGAATCATCCATATACAACTGGAGCATGACAAGAGCAAAATTATTCATAGAATAATTGGTATACAAAATAAGATTTTTGTTTCATTCAGTGCAACAGAACTATAAAATTTTATTTTGGTATCAGATTAATTTATTCTTCATTTCTTTTTTCTGTAAATGTCAAAAGAAGGACAGTGAGCTAATCAAATGCCCATGTGAGTACTCTAAACACTGAAACATCACTAATAATGTCTTCTGTTTTACTTTCCAGATAATAAGTATTACAAAAACTACTGAAAATAAGGTAGATAGATATCACTTTGCAATTCTTACTGAACTTCAAAAAAGGATACTGTAAAGGTAGAAAAATGCAGGAAAAAAACAAGAAAAATTAGAGGTGGCAGGTGGCGCAGCTGTACCTGAAAGGGAGGGCAATCTGTAGCTTGCCAGATTCTGCAGAACTTAAATTTCCCAAAGTCTTGGCTTTAGAGTCAACAGTGTGTTGTATTCAGTAACAATTGGAAAGCAATGGAGGTACTGGTGGCCATCATTTTATATAAAACAATATAATGATGCTTCCAATTTTTATACCGCTTTATTTTATACTTCTTTCATTTGTCCATCTAAAAAGTTTATGTTTTTTTCAAATAAACATTTTATCCTTAGAATAACTGAAGAATTTTGTCATGACTTTCTCAAAAGGCAATTCCTATTTGCCTTTTAGGTGTATATCATTATGTTTCCAAGGCAAAAAAAATTTTTTTGCTGTACTTTCTTACTCAGGATCAAATATTCTGCTAATACTTTTACAGCTTCAATAACTGAGTGTAATATATCTAAAATAATTGGGTAAGGGTTCCAGAACCAATTCCTTTCACATGTGAGCCAATTAAGACAGTAGTATACCACTTCCTACGAAAGCTGCATGAAGCTAATGAGGTATTGCTAAGAATCAAGCTTCACTCAAGAATAGTTTTACTTTCTTAATTGTGCACATGATATTTATCATAGCTTCTTAAGTTGCCCTTTCTTTCCTGCCTGTAAACAGATGGAATGGTGATTCTGTATTCAGTATAAACATAAAAACAGTTTCTATACCTTAAATTATTTCGCAAGAGTTTACTGATTAAAAATGACTATTCATTAATTTATATGTTGCCCATCTTACTGTTGAGCAACAAGAAATACTAAAAGCATTATCCTATAATATATAAAAAGAAACAAACAGATATGGTGAAATATTGAATGAAAAGGGTGAACTTAAATCTATGCAAAAACTAGAGGAACAAGGTATAAAGATGAATTGGTTTTCATATGCGCAAATACATTCAAGGTATGATAAAGACTCTAAAACAGAGGTTTCTATGATTTATGACTTATCTACTGATTTAGATAAGATTTTGACAGGTACTGATGAAAAGGTGATTAAAAATTGTATGGATATTTATTAGAAATTAAACTAGAAGAACAAGTTAAAGAAACAATGATTGCTTGGGGGAAGAATTTTGGATCTAGAGAAATGGCAAAAATTGTGGTTTCAAAATTATAAAATGACAATGTCAACAGCATATAAAGAAAATTTGTGTAAGATGTTTTACAGGTGGCATTTTCCCCCCTGACAAGAATAGCAAGAATGTCCAAGAACAAATTGGAAAAATGTTGGAAATGTCATCAGACACCTGGCTCATACTACCATATGTGGTGGACTTGTGTGGATGCTAAAAAATATTGGACTAAAATTCACACGTGGTTGGAAAAAATGACAAAAAAGCATATAGATTTGAAACCAGAGATATTTTTATTGGGAATTTTACCTGAAATATATAGTAAAGAATTGAAATACCTGATTGTAAATGTATTAACAGCGGCTAGGATTGTATTTGCTAAAAATTGGAAAAATGAGAAAATACCATCACAGGAGGAAATCATTAAGAAAATATTGGAATGTGCTGAAATGAGTAGATTGACATTTGAAATCAGAGAACAAGATGATAAACAATTTTATAAAATCTGGGATCTATTCTATCAATGGTTAGAAAACAAAACATGGTAATGAAATATGTAGATTCTTAGAAAATAATAAATATATAAAGATGTATTCTTTTCTTATTACATCTACAAAATGATTGTAGGATAGATTTGAGATGATAATATGAACTGTCACAAAACAATTTAAGTAAAATATGATTATTTCGTAAAACATGAATGAATAAAAGTATAGTCAAATGATTGATTAACAATGATATTAATGTATTTAATACTTGATTGAAAATATGAGAATATATACAATGTAATTGTAATTGAAGACTACGAAATGGAAGCACAAAACAATTTGTAAACCAACCGGCACACTGTATGTATATATATGGAAGATGGCTTGATGTTTTTTTGTTTTGTTTGTCTATGTTCGTCTTAAAAACCAATAAAAATTAAAGAAAAGAAAAGAAATACTAAAAGCACAACTACAGGATCAATTTGCTGTTTCACATAGGCATATAGACTAAGGAAAATGTTTCTTTAAACTTTATGTCTAAAAGAGTCAAGAGACTCAGTCACAAATATGAATGAAAAATTTCAATAAATAGTATAAAACACTATGTAATTAAAATCACAAGAAACACCATAATGATATTACATCACTTCTGAGATGTTTTCAAATCCTTATCTATGAAGCATGGATAGTGAATCAGACAGGGCAAATTAGCACCTGGGATCAAGACAAGACAAGGTGATGTATCACTTTACCAGGATTCTAACCAACCTATTAAAACAATGAAGACTTTCTAATATACAGAATTACCTTGAAACTTAAACACTCAGGTATAAGGGGTAGATTAACAGAGTTCCTAATTGCATCAAGATAAATGCCAAATATGAGATTTAATCAATTGATTTCCTGTCCACTCTTAGGAAATTCAGCCAACCTACCAACAAATTCAAACCTCAGAGTGGAAAAGCACATTAAAGAACATTGCCAGCATATTCACAAGCACAAAATTGTTTCAACCTGCAATATCCTATATTATTATTCTCCCTTCAAAGCCACAATCATCTCTATCTTCCACAATCCTCAGCTCCTCTCAATCTAATGCAATTATATTCATTGAGCATTATTTGTAACTTATTGATAATTATCTGGATATTTTCACTGTAGATATTAATATAAAATAGCTATAAAGACTAGACTAAGCTTATTGAAAGTTATGCAACATGGGCTTAAGTCTTATTGCACCTATATAACTATACATCTGTCAAGGATCACACATTTTCCTATTATAAGAATCTTACAATGACTCTTTAATAACACATTGCAGTGGATAAAAACATACATTGCACTGGAACAAAAAAATAGAGAAATATTGAACAATAAACATTAATGACATTAACTAAATTACATTAAACAATATACATTAAGAACAACACCATTCTATATCTTTCCCCTTGCAGGTGTTATACTCACACTCTCCTTTGGAGTTCTTTTAGAACCTGTTGCATACATAGGTGATTCATGATACCCATTTAAATATCTTTCTTTAATCATGTCAAACTGGATAGATGATAGATAGATAAATAAGATAGATAATAGATAGATAGATAGATAGATAGATAAGATAGATAAGATAAGATAGACAGACAGACAGACATAGACAGACAGACAAATAGATATTCATTTTTAACAATTTTTAAAAGCCTTTAAAAATTACAAAGTCTTTTGCCTGTGTGATTCTGAGATGTGCTTAACCTAGCTTTCTTTTCCTGGTCTAGATTGGCGGAAGGCTCAGGCAATAGCAACATTCTGCCATGATGTAAAATTAGAAATTTATTTATTTAAAATAAAAGAAATACCAACTGCTATCATGATTGTAAAATCAGTGTATTCAAACTGAATAGATTCAGGTTTTTAAATATTTAGGAATCCACATTCAATCTTCCATCACTTGGAAACAAAATCAGGAAATTACAGAATCTGCCCCCAAAATCTCTATCACTGTAATTAGATTTGCTATCTCTCATAAACAAAATATATAAGGTCAGGGAATTGTCCAAACCTGGACAAAACAGGCCTGTTTTAGGATCAGACCATCACCTAGAGTGTGAACAATTTTTGGTTATATGACCTACTTCCAGAAATTGATTTCAACCATCTTGAATATCACAATGTGGAATGATTTGGCATGGTCTGAAAGAATACAATGTTCCAAAGTTATTAAAACATTCCTCTCCCAAATCAGTAAGTTTCTTCCTACATGCAAGTATTTCCAGAACAATTAGGAAAATAAAGAGTCATCTTGAATTAAGACTAATGATGAGTAGCTAGCCAGCCAACTGCAAACAGAAAAATAATAATTGGAGCTTGAAGGCAGCACAGAAGGTAATTTCTAATTTACTCTAAAAGTTCTATGGTACTTATTTTCTGAACAGATAAAGAATCTTTTCAAGAAAGCAACATTTTAGTCAAGGGACCATACAGTTCTGAATACATAATAGAATAAAAAAAAATTCAACTGTTTTGGTCATTGCTATGATTTATAATTCCTAAATGTAATTTTTATTAAAAAAATATCTTACCTGAACACAGTTGTTCAACTTTTGTGTAGTTTAAAGCTACTATGTCATTCACCCATGCAATGATGTCATGTCTGCTCATAGTCTCTTGGGTTATAGAGGTAGAATACACGTTGACCGCCATTCCCCAACTGCAAAATCAGATATGCATAGATCAAGTTTGATACCAGAATATTTGCCATTCTGAATCCAATATCTATATAACACATACATAACAGTGGGGAAAAACCAGTATTTCCAAAATATGTTCATTATCAATTCAGTTTTTTCAATCTCAAGCTACATTTATTGATCTGTAACCCCTATAATCCTCACTTAGCATGATATTAATATCCAAATATAGATGGCAAAGAATTAATTAAAGGAGCTGAAGTCCAATGCATTTCGATGATTCACTTTATCTGACTTTTCCCATTAAGAAAAAATAAACTCCATACTTGTCTCCCATTATTTGACAGAATCTTCAAGTCATTCTTATCTTAAAATCTCTCCTAAAGAATTAGTGATGATACAATATATAAAGACCATGTATTATTAACAACCCATGGAAATATGAGAACAAGTTCTACCCTGTTTCAGATTGGGCTTTTGACCATATAAGAACAAGTTCTCATATGGTCAAAAGCCCAATCTGAAACAGGGTAGCTTTGAGACCTTTGCATTGCATAGGTATAAGAAAATCATAAGAATTTAAAATTGATTTTATTATAATAAATAGAGCATGCATTTGAAACACAATAGAGGAACACTAGAATTCTTCCATGTCTTCAAAGTCTTTGCAATAAATCTATTCTCAGATTTTGTATCCTTAGAAACATATTCTTAAATTTTTACCTTCTCAACAGTTGGAAGCCTGGCTTGTATCAGTGTTTGTAAATGTGTTGGACTACATTTTAGGATGAATCCTGTTCAATAACTAACTTGTTTTATAGTATGTTATCTGTTAATTTGGGAACTGTATATCTATCAGGATAGCTTAATTCTGAAAATCAAACCATCATTGTTTATATCGCTAAGTAACATGGAAAAGTATGTCCCTTATGCCAAAATATCATTATTATATTACAGTTTAGCTTTTCATATGAACTGGATATATATCCTTTAATTGAAGTGTAACAGTACTCTGTGTAATACAGAGAAAGGAAATTAGTTCCTCTATTTGAACCTGTAAAATTCTTCACTCCATTAACTCCTTATCTCCCAAATTCAAACATAAATCAATACTTGGAAGTAAATTATCAGTTTAATAAACTACACATCACCTGTATTTTGACCAACTTGGGTGAATAATCAGCCTTACTCTTCTGGAATGTATATGAGGAGCTGATAGTTATATTTGACCAGAGGAGTGTGTTTTCTATTATTATAAAATGATGCCTATGACATGAATTAAGATAATATAAAATCACCTGTTGCTTATTTTGTGGTGAGAAATGAGCATTTATTTATTTATAGATACGTATTATCTGAACATCATTAAGAATATAAAAAACACGGAACTTCCGGTTTGTCGGCTTCGCCAGCGGCAGGGATTTGCGATCCTGCGCGATCCCTGCGGCGCTAGCCGTCTTGGTGCCTCCGATCCTGACGGATCTGGAGGCTAAGGCTGCCCCCCAGAGGCAGCCGAAGATAGGGGGAGCTGGTGAGGGGTTTGGGGGTGTTGCAGACCCCCTCTCCAGCCGGCAAAACCCCCTATTCTCAAGGCGGTTGAGCGGCGGTCTGTAATGGCCGCCACAAAGAAGCCGGCAGCTGGGTAAGACTGAGCAGGAGGAAGAGAGGAGAAAGTTTCAGAGAAAGTTTTTTGGCTGACCCAGGATTTTAAGAGACGTCTAATCCTGAAAAATATGACTTCTTGAACGATACTTTGTTTCCAGAGGAGAATTTCAAGCGGCAAAACTGAGGTGCTGAAAGGGAAAGTTTACTCTCCTTCCCTATGGAATCAACAAATGGCCATTGAGAAACCTGTTGTTTTTTATAAAAGGTAAAAACTTGGCTTCTTGTTATAAGTGTGAAGGGAGAGGACAAAAAAAATATTAAGATCTTGCTGGAGGAGATGCCTTGAAGATCTTGAGACTAGAAATTAATTGCAACAAGGCTTTAAAATACAGACTGGGCTTTTTTTCTTTTCCTTTTTACTGATACCACCCCAGGAAGAGAAAGTGAGAACTTTGTGCTTTGTCTGGACTGATTGATGTCTCTGGGACTTTGGGGAATTGTTTTAACTTTTGAAACATCTTGGTTGCTTTAAGAAGAAGAACAAAGAAAAGATTTACAATGGCTTTACCTGTTGATGAACTTAGAAAGGAATATGGAGAAATAAAGAAAGAAAACAAGGACGCTGTGAAAGAAGCCTTCCTCTTTTTAGAAATGGCGCTTGCTATTTATCGGCAAACACAACAACAGATGGAGGAAATAGAAGAAGAAGAAGAAGAAGAAGAAGAAGAAGAAGAAGAAGAAGAAGAAG